CACACACACACACACACACACACACACACACACGCATACACACACACACACACACACACACACACACACACATACACACACACACACCCGCACGCGCGCACGCTCCTGCGCACAAACACACAGACAAACACACAGGCACAAACATACACACAGATATACCCACACTTATGCGTACACACTCACATACACACCCCACTCACTCCCCGACACACACACAAATAAACACTGACACACTCACATACATACTCACTCGTTCTAGAATTCTCCCTTCCCCCAATGTTTTCGCAGTTTCTCAATTGTTCTTTTTTTGTTTTCTTCCTTTTTTATTTCTCTCCCTGTTTTGTCACTTTTTCTTCCATTGTTCCTCTCTATCTTTCCTTCTTTTTTTTCGCTCTTCATTTAATCGTGTCTAAATTTATGTCTTTTTCCGAAATTTCATTCTTTTTTCATCGATCTCTCTCTCTCACAAAATTGAAATTTCTCTTCATATCTCTGTTTGTCTCAGTATTTCTTCCCCTCCTGCTATCTTTCGTTCTCCTTTCCTTTCTCTCTCCCTCTCTTCTCTATCAATAAACGAATGTAACAATATGTTTGTGTGCGTATATGTGTTTGTTTGTTGTGTGTGTGTGTGTGTGTGTGTGTGTGTGTGTGTGTGTGTGTGTGTGTGTGTGTCTATGTGTGTGTATGTACTATGTGTGTTATATATTAACACATAACAAATAATAATAACATGCATATCCATGGTGACTTCATGAGCACATCTTGTTATTATCAACCACCCACCAGAGGAAAGCCCGCCCTTCACAATAGACGGCGAACTACTGAAATTAAAGCCACATTTTGTAGACTTTTTCCTCTGCCCTGTCCAAAGTCTGCAAAGTTCACAGATGCCCCACACCACGTCACTTGCAATAACGATAAAAACAGGTGGCGTCGTGGTGAAATCAGGTGCTCGTCAAAAGAGTTAAATCGAAGGACCAACATTTTCCCGTCCCTTTGTTTCTTTTTCTATTCTTTCAAATCAATTTAAAAACTTTTCAGAGCGGATTTTATTGAAAAACATTGATCAAAGGCACACGCACGCACGCACATACACACACACACACACACACAGACACACACATACATACACTACACACACACACACACACACACACACACACACACACACACACACGCACAAAATTAAAATTAGCTGTTTCCAATGTTACTCAAGCCTTGGGGGACAACGAGCTTCACAGACCACTTTCTCGCTAAAGAAATCTCTGACTCCATCCGACCCCAACATACTTCAATGGCAAATATTTTGACTTCTATTTGAGATAAATGGGTATTTTTTGGTCGAAAGTAAGAAAAATCAACAAGCTTTATTAAGATGATACCAATAATTCTATATGTCCAAAACTTGACTGGCACCTGATTCCACCGTGTCATGACTCAAATTTAGCCAGCAACATGACAAGAAACACGGTTGTTACTGCAAAACGTTTATGAAATGCTTTTGTTTTAGTAAATGTTTTACGGCACTTGCAACACGTACAGTCATAATGTAAGTGCCAAAGATTAGAGATGTTACAAGAGAGTAACACAAGCAAATAGAGACGGAGGAGAGAATAGGAAGATAAAATGTTTGATAGGAAAGAAGGAGAAGGCCATACCCGAGCACCCGGTAACCACCCACAGTTATAAATTATATGAATTATATACCTGTTGCTGAGCGTTGAACCAAGACACACGTAGAGATCTAGACAACACGGACCCGTTCCCACCGTGTGCTGGAAGTGTTGAATTTTCCCCCCTCGTTTTGTGC